AGTAAAGATCAAAGGCTTTGCACATACCACGGGGTGGCTTTTTCTTCTGTGATCTTTTAGTATTGTCCCATCTTTGCCTCCTCCGACCCTCCATGAAACCTCCAAGGAAACAGAACCTATAACAACGATAATCCACCACGAAAATCCACAAAAAGAAAAATCAAGTGAATTGAAATTCCTATCAGTGAAACAGAAATTCAACAAAATAGAAACAAACTCTTACAAAATCGGCAACCCAAATTACCATCAGACAAAAATTCAGTGCGCAAATCTAAGAAAAAACTCGAAAAAGAAAAGACGGGTCACCTCGGATTTCGCGAGGGAGTTCTTCACAGCCCAAATCGAGAAACTGTGCTCAGCCCTGCTTTTCGAAATAGTAACTGAAAAACGCCGCAAAAATAAAAGTGCGTAATTAAAAAATTAATTCTTTTTCGCACAATCTTACGCAAAAGTCTACGATGTTGAAGGTAGATTCGAGCTACAAACGGCGTGATCGATTAGAAAAGAGTGATGGGTTCGAAGGGGAAAGAGGGAAAAACGAAAGGGTTGTGGACAGTATTTACACAGAAAGGGGAAAAACTTCGAAATACGTTCAAACTGTCGTTTTTTGTGCGGAAAGAGAAAAGGTCATCGATAGATATATACAATGCAAATAAATAAATAAAATTAACTAAAATTGGACAATAAAATAAAATAAATTACTCGCAATGAGTCATGCCACGTTCACATGGTTCATGAATGATGAGGGGGAAAATTTCCATACTTAGTATTTTTGGTACCACAAATTATTATATGACAATAAAAAAATATGCCATTTAATATGGAATTATGCATATTTATTAAAAATGTATAACTGTCAAACAATTTAATTTGTCTAACAATAATATCACAATATACTTTTGTTTTAGTATTCATTATTTGGACACTTGTAATTCAATGTTGGAACTTAAAAAGGTCTTAGGTTTAGCACTCATCTTTATGATATTGGGGGAATTTATAAGATTTGGACAATTTGTAATTCAATATTTGAAATTTGAAAATGAATATAGGTTTGGTTATAATCTTTATGATATTGTGGAAATTATATGCAATGGTGGACGATAATTTATATTGGGTTGTGGCATTGCAATTGTGTATTAATTTTTTTGGTGTTGAAGTTGGAAGTATTCAAATAATGTTTGTTAATAATAGGATTTGAAAGTTGACAAATTATACATGATTAGGATGGGAAAATGCTACAATTCCGTAACCTTACCAGATCAGGATGTATACCATTTAACCTACTTAAACCATCCGCCAATTCCTTTCTGAGTGAAGCAATTGGAATACCACTTAACATGTACTAGTAGGTACCACGTGCGATGCACGGGTCAAATATATTAAATGAGTTATTTTTACAGCCTTGTCCGTTTAAGTTTAAAAAATAATAGGATTATTATTTATTTTCTACCTCTTTTAATCAACGTTAAGTCTAAAAAACAATAGGGTTATTATAAGTTTTTTTTCACATCTTTTAATCAACGTTGTTATTTTAGCCAGAACATTAAATATAAGCATGTTAGGGCTAGCTTGTAAAATAATTAATATATTATCTCACTAAAACATTTATAGTAATAAAATTAATTTTAGGATATAAATTTATCCCTTGATATAAGAGAAATTAATAATTTTACTTATTGTTGTTCCCCATATAATATTTAATTATTATTTTATTATATAACAAAAAAAATACTGTGAAATAGTGTAGTAGAATTGTTATAAAATTATATGAATTATTATTTTTTACAATATGGATTTAATATCTTCTTATGATTTGATAATATAAACAAATCTATACTTACCTTTGACTTTTCCAACAAAGGTAAAAAAATGTTCTGATTTTTATCCCATAATAATTTTTTAATGTCAAGCCTATAAATACCAAAACAAATCTGTAATTAATGTCATTCTATTTCCAGCAATCATTAATTACCTTTGACTTTTTTGCCTACTGTTTCTAATAAATAAGATGCATTTTTATATAAGTATAGATTATAAATTTATAACGATCATTTTTCTGAATAAAAGAATTTTATATACAAATTATTTGCAATATTTAAAGGAGTTAAGAGAATGTTTGTTAATAATAGGATTTCTACGTAATGATATGCATACTTTTGCAACGGATTGTTAGCCTAAATTATATATTTTTTATTTATAAAATTGTATGTATATCATATATATATATATACTTTTTAAAGAATACGGTTATTTTATTTATAAAATTGTACGTATATCATATATTCATATATACTTTTTAAAGAATACGGTCATACCATCATTTGTTATAGTTTTATTTATATTATTTATATTTCATTACAATTGTATACATTAATTTAAAAAATTATGTTGGTCCTATGCTCCTATTTGTTTATTAGAAATGCCTAGCCAATTACTGCTATTTTATGATTACCATTTTTTGTGTGGCAATAAATTAGTGTGAACTCCATTTATAAATGAGATGTCAACGAAAATGTGTACTACTATGGACAAATGCGTCGAATTTCGAATTGCCGTTACAGAAATTTGTCAGACAATCAATTCGAAATTATTTGTGGTAACACATGGTAAAAACAGGATAAAACAAAAATGTTTGTACTAAATTGAAATAAAAACGTGACGAAAGTTCCATATGGACCACAACTATGTGAACAATTATTAATGATTAATCGGGATAGTTGTGTCCGTATAATAATAACCTTCATGCTGGTGAGAGATCGAGTTTGATTCGACTCAGTCGAGCTCAAATCGGTTAGAAGTATGTAATTTTATATGATTTTGTACAACTAATTCATGAAAATTCGAGCTCGGTTCGTAAATATGATAAACAAATCAAATTTGAGCTCGTTTGTCGTCTCTACTCGATAAAATATTCGAACCAATAACAAGAATTTGAGTTGGCTCGATTTATTTACAATTCTAATCAAGACAAATTTCCAAATGCATAAGGGCCTGATTAATATAAGTTATTTTGAATTAATTGGAGAATATGAGTTAATTTTTAAAAAAGTTGATTAGTTTGAGTGGATTTTGAGTTTGTGTTTAAATAATATTGAAAATATAATAATTAAAGTTGATCTGATGTAAAAGTAGGAGTAAGTGATTAGAAGTGATGAGTAATTAAAATTATGTGCGTGAATGAATAGTGAATTAAGGTTGATGTAAGTATGAAACTGCCTGAATTATTATTTAATTATATTGATAATATTGATGAAAATTGAGTTGGATTAAGTTTAAGCTTGATTATTATGCGTTAAAAAAATTATTTAATCAGTCATAGTTGGATATTTAGTATCCAATCATGCTCTAAGCAACCAACGATTAATGTCCATATCGATTCTATTACTTAAAGACATTGTTAGGTTATTAGTTGATAACATATAGTTTATTGCATTAGCCATAGCGAATAATGGATCATATAAACGTATTTAACTAGCAGATTCAATTAGCATTTTGCTAAATAATAAAAAAATAAAAGTTTTACATTTGTTTTGTATCATGTCATTCCAAAACTCCATTTTTTTAGTTTTTTTGGATTACTGTTTGAATCCATCTTCTAATCAAATTAACTCGTATACTTCATTAATTTAGCACCAAACCACTCTAAAAATTTCTTGATGAAGAGGTCAATATTAGACTCATAGTACGATCTTGTAATTCATTTTTTAAAAAATGTCACACCCATCTCATTTATCTTATGTTGCTTATATGTTTCCACTACTAAATTAGTTATGAATAAAGTTCTTAGACTGGATTATGGTTTTATTTATTTGGGAATTTAAGACTATCATCAACTAAGAATACTTCATGAATTTGAATTATTGAACAGTCTCAAGTAATCAAATTGATTCAAGCTACATACTACTTTGCTCTCATCTTCATTTTCTTTTGTTCCAACAACCCAACCGAATATTTCTGTTGGGCCTTTAAAGGAGAAAAATCTCGATTTTGTACTGCACATTTACACACGTGCCAAGACTATGCGGAAATTGATTTGACATTGCAAGAATAAAAAAAATAAAATTTCCCTGTTTATCGAATGTTCGTTACTTTCAAAATAGACGACAAATCCGTAGATAACGATCAATAAATTGCCAAGCCCATCAAGAGCTATATATTGCGAATTGCCAATGTGAGGGGCCCAAATCATCAGCTACAGTGAAATGCCACCACACATTGCTTCATGCGCAAAAGGAGAAGTGAAAACACTCTGCAACAATTGACAACATACATTTTTTATCGAAAACGATTATCCGTTCATCTTCCTTCACGATTTTCGTATCAAAAGCCATGTTAATCCTATGGGGATTGTTAATCTTTGCCTGCCTCTCTCTAATCCTGGCCGTACGTTCATTTGCGCGGGTTGTACCTCTGCGTACTACCACGTCGGTGGGAAATCTCCGTATGCGGTGCGGCGCACCGTTCAGGGTTGCACTCTTTGCCGACCTTCACTTCGGCGAGGACGCGTGGACGGAGTGGGGCCCACAGCAGGATATCAGTTCCTTGAGGGTTATGTCTGATGTGCTGGACAGAGAGCAGCCAGGTATTATTTTTCATGATGAAAAAAAGTTTAAAAATTGAATCTTTAAGTGTTTCGTGGTATTCTTATGATGAAGGGACATATAAAGGTTGAACCTTTTAGTGTTTTGTGGTAATTTTTATGATGAAGGAACATATAAAGATTGAATCTCTTATTAGTGTCATCAAGAAATTCAAACTTGACTACTTTCTACTGCCATCAATGGACAGATTTTGTCATTTATCTTGGAGATGTCATCACTGCCAACAATATAATGATTAAAAATGGAAGCTTATTATGGGATCGAGCTTTGTCTCCCACACGAGACAGGAAAATACCTTGGTCGAGTATTTTCGGCAATCACGATGATGCTCCATTTGAGTGGCCAATCGAGTGGTTTTCAGAAAGTGGATTCCTCGAGTTCATTGTCCTTCTTCAAACTCCTCCTTTACCGATGGTGCTTATTTGAGTCATAATTTGGTGTGAGAGTGTAATTTTGCTTTTTAAACTATAATTACCATTTGCTCGATCGTGAAAACTCAGGGAAAACCGAGGAATGCAGCTTCAGAGGCACCACACGTTCGGAGTTGATGACAAGCGAGATTGAGCAGAACAGATTGTTATCTTACTCAATGATTGGCCCTCAAAATCTATGGCCTAGTGTTTCGAATTATGTCCTAAAACTTTCATCGTCAAGTGATGTTCAAGAACCGGTTGTTTACACGTACTTCTTCGACTCGGGAGGTGGGTCCTATCCGGAGGTTATATCCGATGCCCAAGTAAAGTGGTTTAAGCAGAAATCTAAAGAAGTTAATCCTGAATCCAGGTAGAAACTATAAGATCGAAAAAGAAAAAAGAAAAAATAGTTCCCATCTCATTACATTTCTACCGTGTGATCTTATTGAGATTTTTTTTTTCTCAGGGTTCCTGATATAATATTTTGGCACATTCTAAGCAAAACTTATAAAAAAGTGGCTCCAAAGTTCAATCGACATGGGCGTTGTGTAGGCTCGATTTTCTTGGAGGATGTTGCTGCTCAAGAAGCTGAGATGGGGATTATGAAAGTTCTCGAGAACAGGCCTTCTGTTAAGGCATGAACTCGACAAAACTCAGTAAATTGCTAATTTTGAGTCTTTTGCAGATGATCTAACTAGTTCAATATTGTTTTCCTTTTGCATATAAAGCAATGGACTGAGTATAAGACTCTAAAGTTGGGTTAAATTTCCGAAATTGCACCTGAAATTTGCTTGATCACACATTCAAGAATGAAAGTATGCGTAATTGTTAAAAAGAGCCGAACCCCTTTAGTAATTTCAACATATATCTGTGGTTTTATGAAATTTGGCTAAACCTATAAAATTATCTTTTACGATTATGATCAATCACAAAAACTACCTCTTAGATTTAATATATTCAGAGAAACCCCACTTCACCTTTCAATATTGCAAAATAACCCCCTGACCCTAAAAAATCAGTATTAAGTATTAACTCATTAGAATAGCCTCAAGTTTGAATTTTGTAAGTTGAAAGTAAAACTCTGGGGTCTGTTTCAAGTTTTGAGGACAAAACAGATTTCTTTGCTCTTAATTATGCTAAACCTCAGGGGTAACATTGTAATTAGAATTTCTCTCTTCTTCTACTGTTAGTTTCTATTATGGCCCAGAACTGTGAAATGTATTTGTTCCAAGCAACAACTACAAAACCAGGCCCTCCAGCAAGTCATTTTTTTGTTCTTGCAAACCTGTCTTTATATTTCATACTATTTCTAAATGTGGCCAGGCCGTGTTCGTGGGCCACAATATGGGCTGGATTGGTGCTGCCCACACAAAAAGCTCTGGCTGTGCTTTGCTCGGCACACGGGCTATGGCGGGTATCGCCGGTTACGCAATCACATTTTTATAACATATATAAATAGTGTTTTTTTTTTCAATTACAAAATCTTGCATCAGGATGTCTTGAGCAGTCATACATTTTACATTGTTTTGGCAAGTTTTTTTAGGGGAAGGTAATATGAAAGTGATCAAAATTGAATAAATCATGAAAAATTGTGAACGTTGCAACAAGCTTAGTATTTTTTTTTTTGTAAATATATTGGTCTCATGTGTTGATTAGCGTTTTGTGGCGAAATTAGAAATTAGAGGTTCTGCTAGGCAGAATCTCTAATTTCATTATTTAGTAACTAACGGTTTGAAATAGCTTTTTAGATTTGAAAAAACCACTCTAGAAAAAAGCTACAAATAGGAGTTTTTGAATAGGAAATTATAGATTTAGTTTTTTTAATATATATTATACAACTAATTATTTAATAAAGGCTTTGGATAACCAACTAATTCAATTAGTTAGCTCAAACTGCTAATTAAATCAGTTATCCATCATTAACTAATCTAATCAGCTAAGTCAGATTTTTTTTTTTTTATTATTTAATAATCTTGGACAGCCAAACACCCTTGAGTCTGTAATTATTACCAAGGCACTTTTATGCACTTGGACTTTGCATGCCTTGGCTAAACTAAGTCTACTCTAATGGTTATTTTTGTTTAAATTTTTGCTTGTACAGGTCAGTTATATATGGTCCCACCCATGATCCAAAAACTTTTGTTTATTTCCAACAATAAATTTTGATCAAGATTATTTTATTTTTATTTTTTATTTTTTGCTGATATTATAGGTGGCATTGAAAGAAAGTGAACTTTTTTCTTATATTCAGTGAAATCCAAGGGGTTGTTGCTTTGCATAAACAATGATTGCATATAAAAAGCTTAAGGTTCAATGTTGTAAAGAAGATTGTACAACACTTAGATACATCATTTTCATGGGCTAATGCCATTATTACTTTGGTAATCATAAGCTAAAACTTATAAACTAATAAACAGATTAAAAATAGGAGTGATCAACAGATTGAAACTAATTATTACACAAAATTATAAATTAATTTTACTTGAAGATGGGTTGTATTTCTTTAATTGTAAAAATTCCAATATTTTCAAATCTGTAAAACATAACCTTTATTTGGCCACACATTGGTGACCAGTGTCATCTATTCTTACTGACAATTACATTACTAAGTCAGAAATGCTCTAACTTCTAAGTGGGTTAGTTAGAAAATTTATTGAAATTTAGAAGACTTTCTATTGCTCTGTTAGTGAGAAAGCACAAACATTAAAGACATTCATTCAGGATGAAGCGATCTATTAGTTTAATTGCTCACTTAAAAATTAATTGCAGGTACCAGAAGATACATGGGATTCTCTAAAGAATTAGAGCACTAAAAAATCTATTTTTTCAATGAATAAAAATAAAAAAATTTACGATTTTAGAGAGCTAAATTATAAGTGGCATCAAAAAAAGGTAAATGCCAATCTCTCAAAATGCCACATTGGTAACATGACCTTTTGTAGCTGTTTAGAGGACCAAAAATCCTTTTTTTTCCAGATAATAAACATAAATAAACACGGACATTATGGGGGAATTTAAACCAAAATTAGAGCCAGATAAAATAAATAAATAAATAAATAAATTGCCCATTGTTCAATGATCAGTAATTCAGGATAAAAAAGACAGATAAAAAGAAAGAAATAAAAAAGGAAAAAGAATGAAGAAACTACTGAAAGGGTTAAACATTAAAGAAAGGGAAAGCAATAAGCAGAACCAAGTACTTCCTGACTTTATTATTCATCATAGTCCAAGCCAATCTTTCATACTTTATGATTAGTTCTCTTAAGTAGCCATTTGAACAGCTAAAAAGCCAATAATCAACTTTCTGCTCATTCTTGTTTAATCTATAATCTTCTAATTAATTATATAAAGCCAAACCATCACATTTTATTTTATTTTATATATATTGCATACTTATACAATTATACTATGAAATGTCATGTTTTTATTTATATAGTTATTTTATGATATTTCAGTTTGAAAGTACGCATATATGTTGAATGAAGTAAATTGACAAACCGTTAAATCTGTCTACCCAACACCTGATTTAATTTTGGGTAGGTGAGACAGCAAAAATGTCACCTAGAAAAATTGAATGTACTGAAAAATTAATGTAAAATGTCATCACTTAAGGATATGTTTTTGCTTTTGCAAGAAAATTTATGAAGCAGTTACAATATTTGAATATTTCAACTGAATTGATGGACTAAATCATCATAAACCAAATAATGCTCACTCATGAGCATTACATAAGGATTAACATTTTCATAACCTTTTTTTTTTTACACACGATGATATTTAATAAACAATAAAAGAGAGTGACACAAAATGGTCAATTAATCACACCTAGTTATTTTGCTNAAACACCAATTTCATCCAAAGATCCGATCGACTGCAAAGTTTTTCGGTGTTGAATCAACAACACATATATACACATATGGTATATGTTAAGTCCAATGATTAAAAATTCAATCTAATCCAACGATTAAAAACCAATCATTAAAATCTACCTATTTCTTGATGCTAGATTTCAGTCCAAACAGGCATTTCTGAACTGGTCAGTGGCAGGCAGTTGTGAAAATAACAGTTAGAGAAGAAAGGAAAAAAAAGGCAAAGATAAAGGCATAAAAGTTGAAAAAAACTTAATCAAGAACACACCCTCCAAAATGGCACTCACAAAAAACTAGATAACTAAAACTAAAAATAAAAAATAAAAATCCCTCCTTATTTTTCACTTCTGTGATTCTATCTAAAGTTTCTTTCACAATCACTCTCAATCAGCACATGGACATGATGTGCTTTTTTTGAAAGCATGACTGAACAATTTTTCTGTGCCTTGAAACTCAAAATAAAAGGAAAATAAAAATAAAAATAAAGAATCTAAAGCCCATTTCGTAATCATTCTACAAAATAATTGTTGGGTATTTTATTGTCATGCATGGCCTTATAAATTGATGTCTCACCCTTTTTTAGCCCTGCATGCTTCAAATCAATCTCTTACAGGTATGGTTTCATTTTGTTCTTCTTTTACTCCAATTACCAACTTATATTTAGTTCTTCATTATCTTACATTAAAAGTCTCATTTTTTTTATTGCTTAAATATTGATTTAGGAAATTTGATTGATGATGCTTCTTTCTTTCTTTCTTTCTTTTTTTTTTAAAAAAAATTCTCAGAGTGGTGCTAGCGGGAAATGAATTTTTTCTTAGTATGACNCCATTTTTTCTCTTAATACAATCTTCCCAAATTCATCAATTTATCCATTTTCATTTTTTTTTCTATGTAGAGCTCAAAAAAATGGAAAAAATGGTTATTACATAGGTTCAAATTCAGACAGTTTCAACCATCTCTAGAAGCCCCTGAGAAGAGAACACTAAACATGGCTGCCGAAGAACAAAGAAAACGAGCATTGGCTGTGGCCGTTGCAACTGCCGCCGCAGCCGAGGCAGCTGTAGCGGCAGCAAATGCGGCGGCAGAAGTTGTTCGGCTGACGAGCCTTTCGTCAGAAAACCGAGCCACAAATCTCGATTTTTTGGCCGTCAAGATTCAGAGTGCTTACAGAGGACATCTTGTGAGTATTTTACAAAGTTTCGGTTTTCGACTAGTTCTGTTTTTGCTGAAATCGAAGATTTTTTTTTATTTATTTATTTTTTTGATCTTTTTAAAAGGCAAGAAAAGCATTGAGTGCATTGAAAGGAATAGTGAGGCTTCAAGCGTTGGTTCGAGGAGAGCTCGTGAGGCGTCGAGTCTTTAAGACATTGCCATCATCAATGTCTTTATTATTACTGCCCGAGTCAAAAACTCACGTGCAGAGAAAGAGAGTTCCGATTCTACTTGATTACCTTAGTCAATGCGAGAGGTTACATAGTCTTAACCGAAAAGACAGAATCAAATATGAAGAAGGAAGAGTAAGTTTGCGCGCTTTTTCAAAATTTTATGTAGTTGTAGATATCTTTTATGGCCTCAAAGTTCATAATGATGGATTGAGTTGGATTTTATGCAAATATGCTAAAAAAAAGTAAAAAAATAAAAATTGTTTGTTTGGCAGTTTCATAATCATAGCCACAGCCAGAGGAGTTGGGATTTGAGTTTGGCCTCAAAGGAAGACAATGAAGCATTGTACCTACAAAAACGAGAAGCCGTTGAGAAAAGAGAACGCATGAAGCAATATTCGTTTTCCCATCGAGTAATCCTTTTATTTTCGCTGAAAGTCGATCAATATAGATCAGACTCGTGCAAAAATTCGACTTTT